ATCTATATGCAAAGAAAAGCCAAAAACTATGGTTTTATCATTACATGAAGATATAGCCTAAAGATGCTCTGCGGGCTTTATGGCATAACCAGGTTTCATTCACCCGGGCCCCTGGGCAGTTGTTCCCCCCTGTTGGCAGGTCTGCCAATACTTATTAAGCATTAATGTAAGTGATTAATTGTAGTATTTCAGCTGTGTTATTGTGATTCATGTTATGTGGAATTTTAAGGCTGTCTTGCATGCACCATATGTAATGAAAGTCGCACATAAATTATAGGAATGGGTCATATATTTGTTGTTGAATATAATTTTTAACACTATATTCCAGCTGGATTGTTCAGTTTTGTAGCAATTAATAAAGATTATCTGTATTCTTCTGTCTTTAGAAAGGTAATAACTACTTATAAAATCACAGTTTTGTTGTTGTAAACACCTGTAAAATTAGGAATGTGAAGATAATCCATGCTCTCCACCTGCAGATTTGTAATTAACCCTGATCTAATTAAATGATACTCCTGAAAAGTTCATTTTCAACTATGGGTGCTTTTTCGAGTATTATGAAATTATCCAGCTTTTTCCTTCTGTGATATCAGCCAGATGGTTTCTGCATTCAAATTCTCAATTGTTGCCTTCACTAACAAGTTCAAATGCTCAAGATTTTTTCTGTCCAACTTATTAGCTAGACAAAAGTAGTTGTCTAATCAGAGAAGGCAACATTCATTAGGAAGCTGTCACTTATTTCCTGTCCTATTTGCCTGGTTGATCATCAAGTTTCTATGGTTTGAGTTGCTGAGAATGGAAATTATTAACTGAAATGGATCAGCTGGTTTTTTTTAATTTTTTGCTCATTGACTGTCTAGCTGCATTTTGTTTGCAAGAGTGTACCTGATATGAATGATGTGGACTTTATTTGGTTATATATATATGCTTTGTATTGTTGGAGGCTATTCCTACATACAGACGTGGATTTTTAATTATAATCACCAAATTGACATTTTCTTTTAGTTGAAGTGCAAAAAAAATCAACTTTGATTTTTTCTTAGCATTTCCTTAATTTTATCCACCCAATATTTAAGTAGTCAGTTTGAGTATTCTTTGATGAAACTCAAGCAGTTATTTATTTTTTTACTTACTTACCTGCTGAGATGCTTCATTATTCTGAATATCTTCCTTCTGAATAAGAATGTTCATTCCTAACCTTCTCTTAAATGATATTTTTATTTCTTGTAGGATTCTAAGCTTTTATTGATCTTTGCTTTGACAAAACAAAATTGACATCTTAAAGACTGGTCAAGGGTTTTATATGACATACAATCACCCCCGTTCTCAGCTTGTTACATTATGAAGATTAGCTATCATATTGAATCCTTAACTTGACTATTTTATTATAAAATTTGCATACCCTTATTCATAACACATTGAGACAACAAATGATACTGTTATACTTTTTATTGCTTGAAATCATGTGCACATTATAAACTTTGATTGATTTCTATCAGGAACCTTTTATGTCTGATTTAATATCAGTGGTATTCTTTCTTACCTAACATTTACCATTCCTTATAGTTGTCCTGTTCTTTATATATGAGACAAAATAACTGGCTGGTGAACAACAGTATTGAAAAAATATGAGACTGGATTTTATACCATTTCAACACTTTGTTCAAGTTTCAACATATTTGCATACATTCCTATTAACAACATATAATTTTATGTACACGAATATTTAGTTGAGATATTTTTAGTTATTCTTGGAATTTTTTTAGGTATCAAAACATTGGTATCCTTGTGCTTCTTCTTCATGACATTTGTGATGTCCAGTTGGAGTTTACTAAACTGAATGTATATTTTAAATATCAAGGTGGTCAGCTGAAGAAACGTCATGAATATGTTGCAAATATATCATTTTTTGTTTTTGCTGTGACATGGTAAGTTAACATTTCAGTCCTAATAGTAAGGAATAAAATTTTCAAGCTTTATAAAAGTATATTTTTAGGAAAGAAATAGAAAGTTTGTTTTGGTTTTAAATTCAAGACATTAACTTTTTTTTTTTAATTAGTTATATGTTAGTAGAGCATATCGAAATTCAACAAAATATATAGTTATGGTATTTCATTCAATTCACACATCTAACACACAAAATCAAATATTTGGTCACTAAGATAGGTTCTTTGAAAAAACTATCCACAGTAATGTTGATACAGTGAGTATGCACCCAACCTTTCAAAGGTTTTAATTATTCATCCCTATTTATGCACTTGTTAATTGCAGAACAGTTTTATGACACCTTTTTTCAAAAGTTTGAGTTAGTCATCCATATTTGTGCACTTGTTAAGTCAACGAAACATTCAGTTTTGTAAACAAAATTATATAAAATTACAACCTGACCTGTTCAAAACCCAAATGAAAACATGTTCAAACATGCTTAATCCACATGTATTTAGTTTAAAATGTAAAAATGTAGCATATTTGATGTTAGTGTAAAATGATAAAAACAATACTATGAAAATTAGGTTTTAAAAATCATTTTGATGTTACAAAATTACATAAATTTTGCAGTAGCAAAAGGTTTCTGTTAAATTTTAACAATATGTACACAAAGAAATTAACTTGCATCCATAAGTTACTCATAGTAGGCCTTATGCCTATACATATAGTTGTTTTTGTGTTCTTTTTATTTTATATTTATATACAATGGACAGACATCCATTTTTCAACATTATGTGGAATGTGTCAAAATTGGACAAAATATATAAAGGTGTGGTATTTCAAGCCCTGGTCTAAAACTAAGGATTATTTAATTCATATTGGAAAAGTTGTTTACAGAACTTTCTTGTAAAAACATTTTCACTGTTTGCATATGTAACCAATCAAATGATCATAACTCTGGATAGAACTACTTAGAGCAGACGACGAGAAAAAATTGGCTCGGTTAAGTGCAACTCTAATAAATGGACATCTGTTTTCTCAAATTATGTTATTGTTAGATTACAGTAATTATGTCTATTTTTCATTTCAATAGAAAAAATTCCTAGAAGTTTGGTATCACATGCATGATAATGTTTAGTGTAAAAGTTATTAAACTTTAAAATGTACATAATATTGTTTATATTTTTAAAGAATAATGTTTTGAATAGTAGTCAGTTTTTCTTCTAATAAATGGCTTTTAAATTTTTCAGGTTTGTTTCTCGACTATATTGGTTCCCACTTAAAGCTCTTTATGCATCCTCTCAAAACCTAGTAGAAAGAAAAATATCAATTCCATTTTCAACTTTTCTTAATTTTCTAATGTGGGTTCTCTTGGCTATGAATATCTATTGGTTCATGGTAAGTCAGTGTCACTGTATGTGAAGGCTGTCATGCATATTTTGCATATAAAAAATATTCGATATTCATTTTAGCAATAAAGTTAGAAAAAAAAATACTATTCGTCTCTAGGTAATGATGATAAAACTGACAAGTTTTTGTTTTAACCATCCCCCCCCCCCCAGTGTCTCAGTGGTATGTCAACAGACTTACAATGCTAAAAACTGTGTTTTAAATACTCGTATAGCCCATTGTGTAGCTTTGTGCTCAACTACAAACAAACAAAATTCAACCAATTGTGGCATCATTAGGAGCTAGTACTACAAGAACTGTTTCATGTCATGTACCATTAGCCCTGATGAAACCAAACCACAATGGCAAAATGTTTTATTATGACCTGGAAAGTAAAGGTAGTTTTCTTTTGGAAATTTTTGCCAAAATATATAAATCCCTTCAGCATGCACTACAAATTCCAAAAAACTTCAAAGTGTTCTTTTTACATTGTGAAAAAGTCATAGTTAGAAGGCAGTGAAGAGTTAAAATAGAGTCTACCTGCTGAAGTGTGTTTTGATGACATTGTAATGAAGTTGCATGTAACTGCATTGTACACTGCTTTACATTTATACACATGAATTGAAAAAAATACAAATAATAATTTCCCCGAAAGGGGCTGAAGGCCACCTGGAGGGGTCACTTGTTTTAACAATCACACCATTATACAGTAGTGTGTCATCTGTCAGTCAGTCAGTAGACACTAAAATGATGTCACATAAGAGACACTTAATGTTGTAATTTGTACTGTAAAACGTGCACATGCCATGAATCACAAGAATAATTGTGCACTCTGTAGGCTATAACATGGCATGACATGAATTTGAAAAGCAAGAAATATCAATATTTGTTACTTGATTTTATTTACTCTTGAAATAGAACACTTTCAGGGACTGAAGAAGTACATCTAGTAATAATAATACATATTTTAATAGAACATGAACAAGAACTTTTGTTGCAGTATATTTTCTTTTTATACTAAAAATTTAAAGCTCATGTATGTAATAGTCTACTTTGTTTAAAGTGACAGAACATGTTTGCCTCCAATTTTTAAAACTAGCTTATAAATTTCGTAAAATGTTTTCAGACACGTTTTTAATGTCTATCTGGCTTGTTTAATTAGAATGATAAGATGTACGTTCTAAATATCAATAAAGTTGTTATAGGGTGTCACATTGTTATTTCTAGAAATAAATATTTTCTAAGAAACTAAAAGTGACTTTTTAAGTTAGATATTGATTTTTTTACAACTTGTTAAAAAGAAGCATTTTTATACGTTCCAGATATGAGTGGAAATTCACAAAGAAAGGTGTCAAAAATCTACAAAAATGGCATTAACTCTAAAACGTATAAAAATACTATAACATGGCTTTGAAAATTTCAAATTGCACAATTTTAAAGTAAGAAAAAATATATCATCAAAGAGATTAATTTTATTTTGTTCTTCGCAATGTCTTACCCATGTTTTGTACTTGTGTGTTAGCTGTTCTAAGAACTTGTGAGTGAAAGTAAATAAGAATAACAATATATCAACCATACTATATCTGCTATATCCACCGCTGACATGGTATGAATATGCATATATCCCTGTTTTAGCTTGTGCTTGGTTTCCTGTTAAGAGTGGCTACAGGACAGATGCAAGAGGTTGATGACACAAGGGAATATGACGTCCTTGAAAAGATTGAGAAAAAAGTTGCTCAGCATTCCAAGTTACAAAATGGGTATGTTTTTTTTTACTTATGCACTTGATACTAACATTTCATTTCTTCTTATCTTTAGCTATCTTAATATGTTAGTTGCAATGTTCAATGAAGGTTACTTAAATTTCGGAAGGATAATTAAGTATCATTAAAAACCTTTAAAGCAATGCTGATCTGTAATAATGATGCTGTTGATAATGTCTTCTGACTCATTTTTGAATTACTAAATCAGTTTCCAAGATATGCTAATTTTAACAAAAGTTGCAAAGAGTATGTATGAATGAACCAAATTATCTTGTTCTTTTTGTTTTACAGGTTTCTGTACTCTTTGTTTTTACTTTTCACTGTTGTAATATTACTGACTAACTATTCTGCAGAAACTTGTTTTTTCAGCACTTAGGAGTGTGAATGATTAAATTTTGTGTGACTGTAAGTTGCAAAAAATTTGCAAGAACTTGTTTTTTTCAGCACTTAGGAATGTGAATGATTAAATTATTTGAAAAAATCTGATATTCTTACATTGTTATTGTTTTATAGTAGCCTGCCCATACTTGTTTGACCAACTTCCATCCTTATAATTAGTCTCCATGACATCATATGTGTTCCAGTTAACCTTCATTAACACCATACAAGTATTTTCCCACTAAAAGTTTCATTTCAAAATATAAGTTCAAATGTTTTCTTTATTTTGTGATGATAAATCTAACATTGGTGACTTCAGTTTCTTTTTTAATTTTTTAACCACTATAACTAATTAATTTACTGTTTCTTAACTTCATTATTTTATTAATTCTACCAATATTTTTCCAATTTAAATTAGATGTACAAAGGCTCCGACAAACATTTCTCTTTTGCCAAGTTTGTCTTCCAGACCTCGTTCTCTTATTTCTCTATCTGCAATTATGATTACTTTTGCTTTACTTCAGTAAAGTTTATAATATTGTTAGTGATTAGTTGTGAGGACATCAATTTTGATGATGACTGAGTATTTTAACATGTAATTTTTTTGTTCTTGAGAATAATCGAAGCAATTATTTGTTTCTTAAATACACTTACTTTCTAAGTATCCAGTAATAACATATTTTTAGGTTAAAAATGATAAAATGTAATCAGAATTTTTTGATGTAAGTATGAAATAGACTGTTGAAAGTTCTGAAAAGATGCATTGCTGTTGTTCATACATCCTTGTATCACAGGCAAACACATCGGAAGAGTTGGTTTCTTGTATATCTGAACACAAAATTAATGAAACACTTATTTATTATAGAAAGTTAGAATCTTTCAAAATTATGAAATATCTGATTCTGCTCCTATAAAAGAAAAGACTCACAGGTCAATAAAGGCTTAATTTTGATATGATACATACATCCTCTAAAACAATAGCTTTTCTCACTCCTCAAAAGCTTTCTAATGCATTGATAAAAAAATTTCTTGCTTCATGCACTAGCTTTTATACCTTATACGTTTGAGCTGCTCATTTAGCATGCATAGAGCATGTGACAACACTCCACCAATTGGAACATGAAACACTTTCCTAGAGTAGCTGGCTCTCTCAGTACTACTTTATATGAACCTCATTTTCTTGATTGGTGCAGTATGAGTCGGTCATGTTTCTCGCTTGCTTTCAGTTTGCCATAATTTTTTTTCCCCTGATATTTTGGACTTTGTTCATATTTATTTTTACTTATTTCAATAAGTATGCTTCGCTTATTCTTCCATTTTGCTGTGTTACTGACTTTAATTTCCATTTTCACACAAATTATTGCAGATTATGAATTTGTGTTTTATTGTGATTACTGCAACAGCTTTTAAAGTACTGGTTACATACAAGCTTCTTTTACCTAGACCTCGGGATTGATATTATCAGCCAAGGAGGTGCAAGCCTTGGTGCATCAGGAGTTAGGTTTTTACTTCAGGATGATGATGATTTAGACTATCTTTCACCTGCTCCTTCTTGTGGCATACAGCCATGTCCTGCATCTTTGAAGGAGGTTCATCCTTCTACTCCTTTCCTCCCATTAATTATACAGGTTTGTCACATTTTGAATATTTTTCCTCTTTTCTATGATGCTTCTCCTTCCCTTTTGTGTGAGATACCTAATTTGGATGATTTGATGTTTTCTCCTTCACCTGACATGGAGGTTCTTGCACAAAGGTTTTTATCACAGTTAAGTTCAGGAGTTAGTATGCCTTGACCCCCCTCAAGTTTCTGACCCTTTTGTTTGAGGCCTTTCATCATTCTCCTGACGATCTTTCAGAGGACCTCAGATCCCTTCTGTGGGTGACTTTAGGGAGGTTCTCTTCATCCGTCCTTTCCCTACTTACCTAGCTACTTTGTCGTTGGGACTTGTTGGGGAGAGACGCGCTGCTTGTGGGAGTTCTTCTCTCCCATTTTCCCACAGGGACTTCAGGGTGGCTCTGTTTTTGTAGGACTGTATTCAAGATATGGCTTCTCACTAGTTGGCAGTCACTTTGGGTTGAGCAATGTTATAACAAGCTTTTCCAGATCAAACCTTCTGTTGCTTTGTGGCTGTCTTGTTTCTATAAGGAGGAGGTTGTCCTAGCAAGGCTACACATTGGTCACAGTTTTTAACTCATCATTTTCTTTTATCTGGTACTGATCCACCAATGTGTAGCCTTTGTGACATTCAAGTCACAATAGTCCACATTTTACTGTCATGCCGTTGTTACAACCGTGAGTGGCGGCACCATTTTAGACGTGTTTTGTGAGGGTTTACCCGTGATGTTGGATGGTGTCATTGGCGATGGTGACACTGTCCAACTTGATTGTATTTTTAATTTTTTTAAAAACAATTGGTCTTTTTAATTCTATTTAGTTCTTTTTTTCTGTATTTTGTACATATTTTGGTTTTAACTCAATTTTACTTTTACTGTTTTTACCGATTGTTTGGCACAGATAGCCTAGTTGCTATGTGCCATAATACACCAAACAAACATCCAACCAACCGTTACTCATGGACTATCATGAGTAAAGCAGAAGGGGATTGCTGCCCATCCCTGCTGTTTCTTTGATTGAATAAATCAGGAGTGACCTTTTCAAAATATGGTTTCGCAGTCACCCATTGCACTTTCTCTGGTATGATGTTCCTCCGATCTCTCCAACTCCTTTTACCCCTGCTTTCCTCAAGTAGAGTTTGGGAGTCCTTGCCACTTCCCAGTTCTTAGCTGCTGGGGTGGTGGAATACAGAGGCTTCCTCATGAGTGTAGAACACACATCTTCACATTACATGTCACTACAGTATGTTGAGAAAAGGGCAAAACTGGAAACTTCCTTCATTCTATCCCCTGGTAGTTTAATTTCAGGTGTGCTGATGTTGGTGGGAACTGGACCAGCCAATTCTGAATCATTTTTATAATACTGGGTTTGGGTAGATATAGTGCCTTTTCCTATGTTTAAGACTTGTAGATGTTCCCCCTTCTCTGTAATTCTGGTTGCATGATGTTTCATTTCCCTACATCTATGGTTGAGGTTGGGGGACTTTGTTTACCTCATAATACCAATTGTGGAATATGCAATGCCCTGTTCCTACAGTTGTGTGGGCATTCCACATCCTTTTCGTAATGCCTGGTGCACATTTCTTCTCTGTTCTTGTGGTTCAGTTAAAATCATTCTTTTCCTTCTCATAATACCAGGTACCAGATGACTGCTTGTTCTTACAGTTGAGTTGAGGCTTATATACAGCCCTGTAGATCGTGGTTTGATTTGTTGTACTTCCTGTCTCTAGTGGTTGATGTGGAAGTCTGTCAAGTGGAAGCCATTTGTGTACTTCCTCATCATAATTCTGGTTGCATACATTATGCTACTCTGTTTGCTTACAGAAGGGGTTGGTGTATATATTATTGATGGTCTGATTGCCCTGTTCACCATACATTGTATATACTAGTTTGATCTTATATGAATTCCTCTGCCTCACAATACTGAGGATGGGACATGGAGTTTCATCTGTATGGTTGTGGTTGAGTAGATACCTAACAATGTCTTGTTGAATGCCTCCATCTTCATACTTATGTGAACTGGCCATTGGCTTTGTTTTTCTGTCTGGGTTTCAAGTTACCTATCTGCATCTGTTTTTTTTCTTTATACTACTTGTGGCTATTATCCTACTGGAGTTGGTTTGTTTCCAGTCGTGTTTGTATGGTTGAGGATGGAGTGGGACTCATGTTGATTTTCTACACCTGATACATTGTTTTCCAAGGTCTTTCTTTTACTAGTTCCAGGCCTCGCGGGTGAAGAACATACCTGTTCTAGAAGCGATGTCGTCCCACACATATGTGCTTCCACTCTATTACAGAGCACACTTGTTCAATTCTCTTTGGTCGGTTTTTGCAGGAGGTTTCTTGTTTTCTCTTACACTGGTTCCTCCACCTACTCAATGTGAGATTCTAGCTATTGTGTGTGTGATGAGGTATGTATCATATTGGAAATTATCATTTTCTAACACTGAAGATAAATTTCTGATAGATACTTACCACTGTTTCTTGTGAGCCTAATCTCGAAAGTGAGGTTCACATAAAATAGTACAGAGGAAGCCAGTTGCTATAAGAGAGTGTGTCATGCTCCTTTTGGTGGAGGGTTGTTGCATGTTCTGTGCATGCTAAATAAGCAAACTGTACTTGTGCAGTATAAAGGCTAGTGCATCAAATTGGAAAAAAATATTTTTAATGCTTTAGAATAGCTAATGTGTGAGTAGAGGTAAGTATTTATTAGAAATATATTTTCAGTGTAAGAGAATTATAACTTCTGTATATCCTAAATAGTTTTGTAATATTGTTTTTCCTTTTTTAACAAGTACCGATTCACTAAACCTTAACTTCATTTACATTTTTTAGCAACATCATAAAATTCAGCTTCATATTTTTCTGAATTGGGCAGCAAAAACATATTTCTAAATTGTTCCCATTTTTCTGATGTTCATTTGACTCTACCATTGCCAAAAAAACTACTGGATAAATAGCTTGAAATTTCAAAAGAGTCTTCTGTAGTTTATGTTGTTTCTGGAAATCAAATACTTTATTTGATATGTGATATTTGTTTGAATTCACAGCTTTGAAAATTTGAAAAGGTTCCATTATAATATTTTAAGAAACAATCAAAACTGCTTACATTCTGTTTGTAAGTTTTAGTTACTGATTTTCATGTCTTTCTACATTTCTGTAAAAACCTTTATATATAATTTTTATTTTGTAAAACTGTAAATTTTACCTTTGTTTTGATTTGAAAAATAATATGAGCAGTTTCACTGTTTGTGATCAGTGAAAACTTGTTTTTAAAATACAAAAATAATAAGCAAACACTTTTTTTGTAATTGTTAAGTAGAAGATTTCATTCTAATTTTGTTTGAAGCTTGCTGAAATTGCAATTAAAAAGAAAAATTATAAAATTAAATAAATAAAACTTTTTTTATTAATTAATTTATTTTTTGATGTGTGGAAGAATGATTACAATGTTATTTTTAATAATTTTTAGCTGCAGCATAGTGGCTGGTAGAATGGCTATGAGTTTTTTTTTTTTTTAAATACAGACTTTTAGCTCATAACTTTGTCATCTTTTGACCGATTTGAGATCTAATTACAATATTGGACTCAGGAGGCCAAATCCTTTAAATTGATATATGTAACCATGCCCAAGGTCTCATAGATTAATTTATTATAATCCTGTCCAAAATAATTTCAATTTGAGGGTAGGCTGGTAGAAATCCTGATGAGTAATAAAATTGAATCAGGTATATGCACACCCCATGCTTGGTATTGCTGGCACACAAAAATATAGCTAATAAAAAGGGGGAAGAAAAAAGGTCTGATAGATTAATTTATTCTAATCCTGCCTAAAACGATTTCAAGTGCCATGACTGTTGAGGAGTCCCTCTTGTTTTAATTCTGTTAAGTAGTTTTGCTTTAAAGGCTGGATGTACCTGTCCAGACATGATAGAATAGAATGATCATGCTTTTAAGTATAGTTCAAAAACTTGCTTGATGTAACATATCATTTACAGATCCATTTCTTTAAATTAGAAGCATATCCTTATACTGTCAGTTTCAAGCAGACAAGTTTAAACATATTTTAAAAATAAGCTTCAGAGTATTTTGCATTATGGATTGTTGATGGTTACATTATATAATGTTACTGAAAAAAACAACATCAGTGGTTTGTATCCTAGATTTGGGTAACTTGTGTTGTAAGATTTATGGAATTAAAATTGATAATTGGCTTTTAAAAATACCAATCAAAAATTTAATATTGCACCTTAAAACTTTTAAAAAGGATAATTATGAAACTAGTAATACTATACAATTTCAGCTTATGTATACCTGAGTGTTGCACATATCCTATGAGTGAATGAAGCTAACCTTTTATTTTTTGGATTAGGAATACCTACCATAATGGTCAGTTGGACACCAGTTTCAATTCTTCTGTACGTTCACGAAAATCCAAGCAAGCAAAAGCAGTTGCTAATGGAAAACTGGCAGAAGCAGAGGATTAAGTACTCCTGGCTTGTTATTATTATTATTACTACTTTTGACTTTTCTCAAGTTACAATGAATTGATGATGAGTGAGATCAAGTCAGCTTTTCTCATCTTGTTTTGTAAAAACTAAGCAATGTATTTTTTTTTTAGATTTTTTTAAATATTTGCACAAAAATCAGATTACATGAACATGGAACCCAGTAATGGTGATAAATGCTGTTTTAAAATTACCATCATTTATCTAAATACTTCTAAAATTAATTTTATTGTCTTTAGTTTATAAAAACAATTGTATGCATATAATTTGTTCTGTGTCATTTCTTATGTGGGGTACTAATACAACAATATTGGATGATTTTTTTTTGTTTTTTACTTCTTGTCTCTTTGTTTTTGTAATTAATTTCAACAACAGGTTGGAAACAGGCAAATTCCAGCAGTTTCGCTGTGTGAAATGAGTGAAAACCAGCCAACCTATACACATTAATGTAGCTGTGTGAATTATCATTTTAGCACAGTTTATTTGATGTGTTCAGTTAAAAAAAATACTCTGACTTCAGGTACCAGTAAAGATATTATGTAAAGCTTAACCATATCATATATCCAAAACATTTGCATGGTGTTATTTTTCCATTTGTATGCATAAACATGTGAACTTTGGAGTGAGAAGTGTGTGTGTTTATGATATTGTCATGCATTTACAACAAATTTGAAGGGGATCTTATGTCTGCTCTGAAGGCAGTGACATTGTTGTGTATATCTTTTTAAGCATTGATGGTGCTGTTTTATTTTTTGTAGTTTCTGTAATTTACCCAAATACCCTGCTACTAAAAAGCAAGATCATATAAGATAAAGGAATTTATATTGTTACTCAAAAGTTGATAGTTTTTATTTAAATGCATATATAATCAATATGCTGAGATGTGTATATATATGTGTGTGCATGTGTGTTTGTTAACATGCTTGTATTTTAAATTGAGGAAAATATGTGAAAAAATGATAACTTGGTTTATGCTTATAATTGAATTAAAAATATTGTCCATATTAAAATGGTTTAATAGGTATTGGAATCTTTCTGGGTTTGAATGAAATATTTTTTTGCTTTGTATTTGTATTGATTCTGTTTAAATAATGAAAGTTCCTGTATTTGATAACATTGAACACTGCAATCAATTCAGTAATTGGATAATATGCTTAATAGATTTGCTTCAACAGTTTCACATTAATCTGAAGTTTCTCTTTTCTTATTTTTTGTATTTTTATTTGTACATGTATTTAGGATTACCAAATAGTTTTAAAATTTTACTACTAATTTTGGCAAGTTAAATTTGGTCACTTTTTTTTTATTAAAAGAATAAAAATATGTAAAACTGAATTGTTCTTGAGAGAGGTAGGGAAATATTGGATATTTCATAAATAGAAATGTATGCAACTTAAGGAATGACTACATGTAAAAAGTAGAAAACTTTATTTTTTCTAATTCCATTCACAACCTAAAAAAGTCAATTTTTGATTAAATAAAAATTTAACATTTCAGATAGCAGTGTCTTCATAAAAATGTTTAAGTTTTCATCAAGTTTTATTATTATTATTATTATAGTTATTTTTTTAATTGTTTTTCAACTTTGGTTTAGTCATCATTTATCAATTGAAAAATAATTTTCTGTTTTTTTTTTAAGTGTTAAATGCTCGGAGTTTTGAACTGTTAAATAAACTTTTTTTATAATAATTTCTACTAGCTGACTTTGTTAGTGAATTGAATGATTCTGATATTTGGTTTGGTCAAACAAATATTAAAAATAAAAGCAAAGTTAACTTGTATATCAACTTTTCCTTTTGGTAGAGGAGTTTTAGGCAGAACAGACTGTACTGGACTTGAAGATGTTAATGACTGAATCTGCCTGAAGTGTAAAAGTGAATGAAAATCTCAACACTGAGACCAAAACATTGTGTACCCTTGTACTACAGGCAGATATTCAAGTGTAAAACTCTTCTTTTTTATAATAATAATTTTCAGTAATTCAGAAAGAAAATTCAGAGAATAATATGTACATCCCCCTTCCCCCTTTTTTTTAATGTGGAGAAATTTTGGTTTAAGCTCATTCTTCAATTCATACACGTCTTTAATGTGGGTACAGCAATGTGGTAAAAAATACAAGTCAGGTTAAATTAATAGAAGTTACAATTCTTTAGATATTCTTTGTGTCTTTGGTAACAGTTAACTATTATATTTATCTTAGCTAATATTATATTTATTAACACTAAAAAAAAGTTAAACCAGAAAACATCAGTACTGGCCTAAAAGTAATTATGATTGAAAATAGTTAAAGAGCTATTTAAAACAAATTTTATATTTTAAAGGTTATTATTGTTATTTTGAATCTGTTCTTACATACAACTTAAATGGCCTAATGAAGACAAACTTGATGTATCCTTAAGCTAAGAAAATGGTGAAAATGAATGTAAAAGGTGCAAGTTTAATTATCTTTCTACAAGCTGACTACATTGCAGTGAATGATATTTAAAATTGTTGAAAGAAACATAATATAAATTTGATGACATACTTCTAAGTTTGAGATAAATACGTCTATATTGATAAGTAAATCATGTAAATGTTCCTCTTAATGAACATTTTTTTAAGTTCCTGTTAATTCTGTTGCATGACCTTTTTTTTACTTTTGAGTAATATAGTAAGTGTTTTCTTTTTCTTCAGAAATATGGTTCCCATATTACCTATCTTGATCAATTGACAAAAAAAAATGTTGTGTTATACTTTTAACAATTCATCAAGTCACTACTGAAAGGCAGTGTTTTATTGGAAAAACTTGATCTAGTGGTTATTATGCCATTCAAAGGGCTGATGGCCTTTAGATAAACATGCTATGTACTTTGAGGCAGTGAGTATGCTATAAGAATGCTGTCTAAATCCCACTATGCACAGACAGATTGTGAATAACTTTGCCTAAAAATTCTAAACAAACATTTTCCAACAAAAAAGTTTTTTGACAAATTTCTGTAACATGGTAAGGAAGTCTTTATAAACTGTAATTACTTTTATATTGTTTGAACAGGCACATATTTATGGGGAACTCTGAAGAATATTATAGAATTTCCAATCTAAACAATATTAAAAATAATGTAACTATTTTCTCACAATATAGTTAATTTATGTGAGTTTAATGTGTAGTAATGTGGAAACATTCATAAAAGATGCATGAAGAATTTTTTTTTCTTGATCTTGATTGTTAAGCATAAAACTATTCTGATATATTCTAACTTATTAACACCATTTCAAAAGTATGGTTGGTTTACATGTTATTGGTTGATTTTCTGCTACATTTTGAGAAACATTTTCAGCCAAACTTAGGTTTAAACTAGAAAAAAAATCTTTATGTGATTTTATATGTAAATGTTTTTTTTATTTGTTCTGTTTTTAATTTATTTATTTAAAAGACCTACACAGAAATATTTGATTTCAAACTATGATAAATGAGTTAAGTTAGGTTTCCATAAAATTGACTGTTATTTGAGCTAAATACATAACTAGTTAATCATTCAATATTTTATTATATTGCTGTACAAAATTTCGTATTTTCTATCTTGTAACTAGTACATAGCCTCATAATTTTTAAAGAAATGCATAATACATTAAATATGTAACTGGGCCAGGCATTGCCTCATGGTTAATCTGTGTGGCTGGGTTTCGATAATTGATTTTGCTGAAACTTCCCCACATTTTCAGCTCTGGTTGCATTATGAAAGTGACTGTCAGTCCTGTTATTTGATTTTCAAAGAATTGGACATAACCAATATGGCAGAAGCTGCTTCTGGCTGACTGTCTTTCTTCTGGTCAATAGTTCAAAATAAGGTGATAGTTATAATTGCACTCTAGAGGTATGACCAGCCATGTGCACTTAGTGTGTCATTCAGTTTTTAAATATTTAAAGATTTTTGTGTAAGCTGTAAACTGAAATACAAAACACTTGTTGACTCTTTAATTTTACCAAGAGAAACATTCATGCAACTGGAATTTTTGAAAGTAGATATTTTTTATAACCTTATTAGTAAAAAAAATATATATATAAGTCTTATGGTTGAAATGTAGTTAATGTTCCACATTTTTCTAAGGTCATGATGCAAAAAATTAAAAATAAATATATTTTTATACTTTATGCTGACAGGGATGTAAAAAATATCAATATATTGTATGTAGATATGTTCAAATGGTCCACGACTGCACAAGAATGTTTTTCTGATAATTTTACAGCATTAGTTTTCAGATTGGAATTATGAATTTTCTTTTGGTGGATGTTGCCAGTATACTGATTCAAAAAACAGTTATCTTTAAAACATATTCTTCAAAAAAATGTTTATTCCTTTTTTTTTCTAGCTTAGAAGTAGTTTTGTTGTTGGAGTTTATTAAACTGTGAAAACAATTCTGTCCATATAAATTAATCAAACTTTGGGACCAATGCATATAACAGTGTGTTCAGTTACTGAATTAATGCATGTACATGTCACTTAAACATTTTTACTAATACACAACCTGTATTTATCACTAACTGGAGAAATAATTTGTGATAATCTGCTTAAAAGTTTACACAAGTGTTTGTGTGTAACATCAACATTCTACTACACATGAATAGATTTGAATTTTTTGCTCTTTTAATCCCTTCTTTCTTTGTCTTATTATACTAACATTTTGTTTCGATGATATATGTTCATGTCATTGGCCAGGTTTAGTATCGTAATTTGGTTTAAGACTTTTTTCTTTCAGCTTTTTATTTCCTTTAACTTGTGAAGTTTTAAATGGCCTAGTTAAATATGTAGATTCTGTATTTGCATTAATAGCTTTTATTATAATTAAATGAGTTTACTTTAATGGTTTTTATATCTATAAATTATTTTTTGAATTCTGTTTGCAGTAATGCAGAACATCTCCTGGTGGGCTTCCTAAGACAATCCCAATAGGGTAACAGGAAAGAATGTTCTTATTTTAATCAATCTGAATTTTCATAATTGGAAAAAAAAAGTTTTATTGACCACTAGATGGCCTTCCTCTTCTCCACTGCCGATTTAAAATGTTTTTATGATTACTTTTGTGTATGTTTAAAATTATTTTAAATTTAAAGTAGCATTGCATGATTATTGTAACAATATAATATAATCCTATTCCAGTTATAATTGACTGTTCAGTGTCATTTATTGGATAAATGGCATAATAATTCTAGTTACTTTTATAGCACAATTTACTCTATAACTTGATTTTTTATAATCAGATCATTGCTTGCAACTTTATTTTTTCTCTACATAATCCCAGATGCTTTTGAACATCAGACAAAGGAGACAGCAAAGATCTTGATAAGCTATGATTAAAATAATGTGATTAGGACTATCTTGTATTCCTTTATAAACATGGTTAAGCAAAAAAGAAATGGAAAATAAGGATGGCTTAGTACTAAATAAATTTCCCTTCCTGTTCTCTTCTTGAGATGGTTGGATTTTATTTTCTGTAGACACTACTGAAGTACTATCCTCTTCTGTTCTTTGGTAGATGTGACTAGGCTCCTATCTTCTTCATGACTTCCTTTTTCATTCTTTGCTAAATATGGTTGGGTACTTGTCTTTTTGATAAGAACCATAAATGTGATACATTTTTGAAGTTAGGAGTTCTGAATGTCACAACACCCAAGTCTTCTGTAATGTATGTTGTATGTCATCAACCTACTAGCCCCGATAGGGATTACTGAAAAGCTTCCTTTCTTTTTTTGTTATTTTGACAGATAGCTAGATCCAAAAGATTTTCAATTCCAAGAAAGGAAAAAAAAATGTTATCTTACTCTTAATTTTTCCCTGATCAGTGGCAATATATCTGTTTTGGAATCTACATAGAAACTGAGACAGTAGAGGTATTGTGTAGGTTTCTTCTCAAATTTAAAACTACATAATGATAAACTTGAAGTCAGGCTAAGGGTTAAAATCTGCATTAAAGCATTTTGCTGCTAAAAAAAATTTCTCAAACTAACTTAATTTTGATGTTATATATACGTAAGAGGATTTTGAAAAGTGGAAAATTTAGATGTAATTGTCTGAAATTACTGTGTTAAGCTGAGTGATGAAAGTATTCAAGAACATGCTGAATGCAAGTATATTTGGTAAAGTTTGAGTGATTGTTTATGGAGTTATGTTAATTAGAAACATCTTGTAAAGTAAATTTGAATTAATTTTATCGATTATTACATCCATGTGACTACAGCCCAAAGTTTGTTTTTTTGACGTTAATTATAAGGCATAGTTTTGAAAAATATTGGCACCATTTTGGAAATCACTATTACATTTTGTCTTTTAACTTATCAAAATCACCTTTTATATAGAAAATTGTGATACTGAACAGTTTCTTTTTTCATCGCTACATGTGGAATTTTATCTAAGGTTTTCTTTAATTAAGACTGAAAAAGGAGATTTTTCCAAGAAACTACAAATGTTTCTTCAAGCCGACGTTATACTCCCACTATTTTTCTTCTGTATGTTGATTTCTTATCATTTCTCTTAAGTTGGCTT